AGTCGTCCAGTCAGAAAAAGAGAGAGCCCTAAGTGGATGAAGGACTTTATTTGCCAAAAGTGACTGAACTGTAAAGACTGTTTATCGTGTATCAATTGTCAACATTTTATTCATTTGTTTTGAGACATTGAACTGAAAGAGCCAAGATTAGTTCATATGTTTTTTTTTATTAGACTTTGTGGAGCTCTTTATTAAGTTAGGGAGGGATGTAGTGTATGTCCATATATGGTATTTCCTTATTTGGAAGTGACCATGTGCTTGAATAGAAGAGACCATCTAAAATGGCGGATTAAAACGTTGTGTTGTCAAATCCAGTCTCTGTTTGTTCCGCAAACACCACAGTCTCGTCCGTGATTTTCACGCACTAGCGTTGAACCTACGTGTATTCCTTTCTGTTGTTATATTCTACCCTTTGTGAAGGGCTCAATTGTAAAATTGTTAAAGTAAAAGAAACATTGACTGAAAAAGGGGCCATTTGTCAGAATAGGTGAGTAAAATATTGGAAAAGAGATGCTTGACGGCGAAGGTGTGTCATTTTGAAGGAATGAACGAAATGAAATTACGATGAAATACACTCCGACTGGACAACACCGGCTTTGTACATTGAAAAACAAAAACAAAAAAACTGGATGTTGCTTGTGTGCAAGATTGAAGAAACTAGTGTAGTGTATCAATCTGATTTGTTGTGCAGGGCTTCTTGAAGATTTCCTGGGCAAGATGGAAGCGTGTGCTGTTTACAAGATCAATTGCCATTGCTCCTACACTTTTTGTAGCGTTTTACGAAGGCGTTCAAGATTTGACTGGAATGAATGACTTTCTTAATGTGTTGCAGAGTTTGCAGGTATATTGCCAGAGGCCTTTTGGCGTTAAGTAGATTAAAATTCAAAGTAATAATAACTCGGCCTTATAAACGTCATAAACTACTTCCTTGGCACGGGATTTTTCTGTTAGTTATGAATTGTAAAAGCATTAGATAAGTGTTTTGGCTGACCATGTTTGACGAATGTGGCGGTGCTGAAGAAAGTGTAGTGGAGTTTTTGTCATACATTCGCTGTTTATCTTGACCAATGTTCTCGCGCACATACATTTACGTTGCCAAGTAGACCTGTGAAATGCCGTTACAGGTTTCCCCCTTAAAGACCCTCCGTTTTCAGCAACAGAATCTTTTACCAGATGTGTTAAGCTTCTGATTCATAAATATTGCTGAAATTTACAACATTCCTCAAACCCCGATAAAAGTGGATACTTTAGTATTTGTCCCCTTTTCAGTTTAGCTCATTTTGCCGCGGGATAGTTCAAATTCACTAGTCACTGTTAACTGATTTGTGAACAAAATGGGATTTGTTAACCATTATCTTACGGATAATTTCCTCGTTTTTTGTTCATCAGCTCCCTTTTGCTCTGATTCCGGTGCTACAATTTACTGGAGATCAAACTATCATGAAATCCTTTAAGAACGGAAGGTAGGTCATAGCAAAGATAGCGATTTGTTTTCTTGCCACAATTTCCCGCCAGTTAGTATCACACGTTCTTGTCACGGCTTCTAGGTTTTTCCCGCCTTTTTTTAGAATGCCATGCCCTCCGCAGTCCTCAGTTGTTTCCCGCTTTTTTTTTGTTGTCCTCTGCTCGTCACCACTTCAGGGTTTCCCGCCAAAACAACCGGCGTGGAAATTAACGTGACTGTGAGCAGACTCAAATTGCTTTATTTTATTTTTTCCTTCAGGGTAATGCAAGGTGTAGCTTGGTTAATGTCCGTTCTGGTCATAGGAATTAATATGTTTTTTGTTGCTGAATATGTGGTAAGTTACGAAACTAGCTTGCATTTTCGCCCACCCCACTCCCCTCCCCTTATACATACCGAATACAGACTATAGACTTCACACTGAGTATAGACTATTTGCAGTAGTAAACAGTGTTTATTCATGCAAACGTCAGTGAAAAAAGGGCGGTATGAACGAGGAGGGGTTGGGGCTTATCTCATCCCAGTCTCCTCTCGTCTGAAAACCCTCGCCCCATCTCTCTTGCAGACTTTCCAAAGGAAAAAAGCAGACGGTAAACAGTCTACTCTTATAAGACCTTTGACATGCAACGATTGGTTCAATCTTGATATGGATGCTGACTACATTGAAACGTCACATGACATTATTTCTAGTGCCGTAAATTGGCAGCCTTTGGGGCTCGTTGTTTTCGGGGGGTCGTTACTTTCGGGGAGCAAAAAAAACGTTACATAAAGTTGTTACGACTGGGGGTCGCTACTTTCGGGATTTATTAGCGGCCACAATTTTTTGACGTTACGTTCGGAAGTTAACGGTATTTGAAGACTCCCAGCATTAGCCTCGGTTGCAAGCTAGTTCCAGTCCAATACCGAGAATACGAATATGGTCTATCATCAACACCTTCGCTGACTAACCTCAATAGGTCTTTCAGGTTTCCCCTACAATATTCCGGTACTCATTTATGCACCTAGTTAGCGAGAGGCATTGCGCCTGAGAATGGACTGTCATGTCCGAAAACACAACACGAAAAAACCCGGAGTTCAGTGCACTAACCATTAATTAGGCCGCTCTCACTGTTAGTTTTTTTTTTCCTAATTTATTTATTGTTGTTCTATTTTCAGTCTGAAATACCACCAAACGCAGGTTACTATATTCTGGTTGGGTTGTATCTTCTCTTCTACGTTACCTTTCTGTTGTTACTGGTAAGTGTGAGTTTCTTGAAGTTCTTGAAGTTTCTGACGGAAATTTACGCGAATCGATTTTAAGGCAGCAGCCTAGAATTTGTCATGAGAAAACCTTATGAGGTACACAGACGCCTCCGAGAGAGAAAAGGGAGGTGAAATCTTGTAAAGGATTCAATTACTGTGCCTTAAACTCGGCTTATAAGTCCTCCTGCTTATTAGCCACCCCCCCCCCGGTTATTGGTACATCCACTTGTAAACAATGTTACTTCCGATTATAAGTCTCCCCCGGACGTTTTGCCCCCCTCCCCCCGCTCTTGTTTACCGGATGTAAGCCCCTCCGTTCATAGACCCATTCACAACCCCTAACAAATTTTTATCAGCCCAGGGTTTATAAGCGGCAGTTTAGGGTATGTTAAATAAAGGAAGCTCGACTCCACTTTTTGAATGAAAAAAATAGAAAGGATTTTCCTTGTTTCGATCGCGTTATGGAAACACGAGTGAAAGTTTGTGAGGAAACGAAATGTTGTGGGAACACATGCCGCAAGCGATTGACCTTACTAGGCAATGAACAGTGTCTGTTTTGCGGATAATGATTTGGGTTATTAAATTTTGGTCGTAGTTTTCAATTTACAAGTACTACGATTATCCGTCGAGTAAGGCGCGATGGAACTTTGGCGACGAAGAGTTGGCCTTGAAATTACGGTGTTGCCACGGGCAACTTTCCCCGTTTCCAATGGTAACAATATCGTCGCCTGCAATTTCGCGCGCTTTGCTACCAATAACGTCAAAGGCCGACAAGTTGCCACTGTATACGAAGCCAGTTGCCTGTGACAACAACACAAGTTGAACGTTAAAACCTATTTACCAAACTTTCGTCGCGCCTTACTCAGCTGATAAACGTAGTATGTACCCAACAGTTTTCTTTCCAAACTAGTCGAAGACAACAGGCTTAATCGACGGTGGCAATCGCTGGAGCTTTAATTGTAACATCAGCGAATAACATTTGGTTATGTATTGTTCTAGGTTTACTTTGCGCTTGGGTTCACCTTTCTGGACTTTATAAAGGTATGTAGGACCCCTTCGTACAATGTTTGAAATGAAAGATTGGCCAAGTTCTTGGACTAAAATTTTCACTTATTCAACGCTGATTTCCTTCCCGAGCATATATCAACTGTTAATATGCTACTGAAACGGTTCGATTACAACACTTGCGAACTATACGCAGACTTTTTTTTAAAGGAAATTTAAAATATGTGGAGTTCATTGGAACACTTTACTGTAAGCCAGCTTTCTTAAGTTCTGTTAGGTTCTGCGGTCGTGGCCTGCGTGGAAGGCTCGTTGAATTTCGCACTTCTCGTTTTCCCCTTTCCTTCTCCTTTTCAGTCAGAGAGCAACCAGTGATATTTTTTGGAGGAAAACTAGCGTCGAATTAGTGAAATCCTCGCTCAAGAATCTGGCCAATTGAATTGTGGCTTCAAAGAGAGATTTTTCCTCGTGCCGTTTTGAGGTAGACCGTTGGCTCTGGGTACGAGCATAATTAGGTTGCCAAGCAACATGCCGCTGATGAGACCATTTTCGTTCGTACAACAGGAATCAGAAAAATTTCGGGTACTTTCGCGTGGATTTATCGAAAATGGTGAGATGGGTGCACTTTAAATGAGGAGGTTTTCAAAGACATTTTGAAAGGCAAAGTTTTAATTTCCAGTGAATCAGCGTCAACACAAGTGCATTTAATTATAAAGTGTTCGTGGAGAAAGAGTTTGAAAACATCTTTCGTGTCATTTCCTTATTTGTAAGAGTTTCAAATAGCACTCGCAGTCGAATATTGGCGGAAAATTGTAATAAGACTGATCTTTGGCCAATAGAGCTGACATGAATGACATCAGTGCTGCAAGAAATCCAAACAGCACAAGTGGACAGGTTTCACGTGAGCATGACGTAGTAACTATGCGCGTGTTGCATAGCAACGTCGTGGTGAAACTTCTGGCTAATTGTTCGTGAACGGGTTACAGTTGGTTTCATCTGAAGAAAAGTTCTTGCTTCGCTAGGGAAAGAATTCAGTTATTTTCAAAAAGCACTTGTTTATTATAGCATTTTTAGGTTAATTTTTGTTCCTTTCGGCAGTATTTACGAAGACCTGAGCCATACGAAATTCAAGAAGACACAGACAGTCATGCTTACCGGGACGAAAACCCAGTCATGACTCCGGACTAATGAACTCTTCCAGTGGCGCTGTAAACTGCGGTACTGGCGCCATTTGCCTGTCTCCACAAGTACTAGTGTAACCATCTTAGTCAGCTTCAACGAATTGATTTCAGAAGTCATGCAACGCAATTTAAAGGGAACTTTCACGCGGTTAAATTTACTATTTTGTCCCGCATATTTATGAACCTATGCACAGACCTAACGTTAAGAAATTACAATGCACAATTTTAAAAGAAGTGTAGTGTTACGTCGCGTACATAATTTGAAGAGAATATTATATAATGCAGGTTTGAGAGGTTGTAGACAAATTTTGCAGCAGCCAAAACAGTTTTCTAATTGGAAAAAATGAAACTATTTTTATTGTTACGTTGTTACTCGTTTGATTTTTACGTGTTATTTTTTTTGTTTTGTTTTGTTTGTTGCTATTATGACTTCCTCTCTTGAAGGTGACTGGGAACAGTTTCCAGCACTTTCCAGCAGTTATACTTTGATGGATCAATACTACCACTTTTTATCAAGTGATGCTACAATTTTGGTTTCAGACAAACACTCACTCATTGGTAAACAAGTTTTGGTCAACCTCGTGACATCATTGGTTGCCAAAGCAACAGAGCAATTTTATCTTATAGCTCGAAAACGAGCTTGGCACCCCCTGTTTTCCTAAAAGAGGCACCGTAAGTCTTCAAAAATTTAAGGTGGTCCTGAGCTCTCACTTGGCAGATTTTCTGTCTCCAGTTAGCCAGCTGACGGATGCTGACTTAGTGGGGCCAATAAGCCACACAAAAAGTGGTAGTATTCATTCATCAAAGTAAAAGGGATGAAGAAACTGTTGCCAGCTATCTTAGGCACTCGGCTCGATCATATTCATTCTTTCTTAACGCCCGACTAATTATTTCCCAGAGACGTCAGCGTTAGGCGAAGCTACTAGGTCAATCATTGAACGAAGAGACGAACTAAATTGCAATTTGTGTCGATTCAAACGGGTGAAGGTCGACCGTTGGGTCAAACGTCGAGCTTAACTCGAATTTAGATCGACCAACACGTTCCATCCGTTTGCTTTAGACGTACAGAACGTGTTGGTCGATCTAATGCTGTGCGTCTGTTCAGTAACTGATCACAGATGACGTCAAAATATGGTATGAACAAAAAAGTGGCACACGAGCCGTTTGGTTAGTGTGTCACTGATGTTCTTACCACATTTTGATGTCTTGGTGATCTATCACTGAACAGACTCATGCCAACATGGAATCTATCTGTTTTATGTAATAAAGAAACAAACACAAATGTTAATGACGTCATCTTAACGTCTGTCCTTAAATGAAACATAGTAAGAACTAATCAAAAGACTTGATGTGTAATGTAACTTAGATTTGACTTGAACTGTTTAATTACAAGTAATAGTTTCTGTTGGCTAAGACAACGTTGGGCTTGTAAAGGATTGGTTTGTAGCGCCAAACCTAGCATTGAAATAGTTTCTTAATAGTTAGTTAAAATTGATGTAGAGCAATGTAACGAAGCAATCACCTTCCTAATGACGAAATGTTTTGATATATTAAGAGTATTTTTTAGGTAAAATAAAAGATGCATCAAGTGAAGTGAATGAACTTGTGATGTAGAATTGACTTGACTTGTCCGCCCTGTCCCAAATTTTGGCTTGAATTTCCGGACATTGCAGCGGCGAAAGAAACAACAGGGGCTGATGCACCCATCATTTTTTAGGTTTTTCTAGAAAAGAGGATAAGTTAGTGAGTGTTGCTTTCCTTTCGACCAAAAATTCGAAACGGGTAAATAGTGCAAAGCCTTCCCGCGAAAATATCCTGGAAATCCGCGTATTGTTGAGCTCCCGAAATGAGTATGCCCCACGAGGTGGTTCTCATTCCTGGAAATTTAACCCAGAATTTTTGGCCAAATAGAAAGTTCCCAAATTGTCGAAAAATAGCCTACTAGGAGTTTATGTTCCATTTCATTTTTCTGCCAGAATTTCCGAACTTGCTTAAATGGTTCGCATTTCGGAAACTTTCGGAATTTTCCCCGGGAAATTTCCTTATGATTTGTCCTCATTTCGAAAGGTCCAGAAGTATTGGTTGAATGCCAAGCAACCACGAAAATACGCAAATTTTGGTAAAAAAATTCTCACCAGTCTAGTCCCTTTTCCAATAGTGACAGTACCATTTGTCCCCGTTTCGAGAGTTCCGTAGACTTAATCAAAGTTTTTCTGGTTGCAGTCAGTCCCTGTTCCTTCGGCGCTTCTTTTTTCGTTCTGAGCTCGGCTTTCGCAGCTTAACTTGTGCATGTAAGCAAGTCGAAAAGTTCCGAATTTTTGGTCTAATGTAATTGCACCAAATTTGCAAACCTTTTTTACAGGGAATTTTTAATTTGAGTTGCCTCCCTTAATTCACGGAATTATCAGTTGAATGGTTTCGATTTCTTCGATCTTCACCTTGCAAGACATACAGCTGAACATCATCCACTAAAGAACGATTATCCTTACAAGAGACTCAGTGGATATTTCAAGGTTTACCACTCCAAAGCGTTACATAACTGGAATATAGCAAAGGATGATTATCGTGTTGAAACAAAAGTAATGCAACCGGTATTTTTAAAAAGCAATTTTATTTGAATAAATTATGTTACTATAAGATTAAGAAAAGAAAAAGAAAACGAACAACCCTGCAATGTGTTTGCATAACTGTGAAGAATGGCCCACATCTAAAGGAGTCCTTTACCAGGCAATGTTGGCAGGTAAGTGTTCAGAGGAACATCATTCAGGTTCTGTCTTTGCTTTCGCGTAACTTCGGTCTCGAAGTAGTTTAGAATACATAACACAGCAAGGTTTTCTGAACAAATGAAAGAAAAACAAAATATCGTTGAAGTTGAAAGGCAGTCACAGCTAACTTCTTTTTTCGTTTGTTTCCTGGACCATAAAACACATGATTTTTCAGTACATGATCCACTAATTAAGTTACGATAACGCTTTACTTCAATGGTGAGAGAAAGTGCATGGTTATACATAAACCTTGTTGAACACGATGGATACAAATAAGCTAAATTATTTTTGATTTGTATGGTATGTTACAGTCCAATTCACAGCAAGTATACAGCCATGTGATTACAAATTTGGAAAGAAAAAGCAGAGCATCTCTCTATTTCCAACTCTCAGCACACCCTGTGACGGTCCGCGACTTGGCTAAACGATCCCTTACACAACTTGACAGGTGCTTTAAGGGGTGAGTTAACCAATTTTTAGGCAAAGAAAAGAAAACTCTCATTCATAAACCATGTTAACTGAGGCAAAAAAGCGGCACAAAATTTTAAGTCAGTGGTTAATACCGCTAGTTTAAAAGAAACGTTTCAATGGTGAAAGTCATGTCTAAATATTGATTGAATTAACCAGCTATGTCAAACGTTACCTCAAGAAAGAGGGAACCATTGTTGTAGCCTTGCAAGTTCCTCCTCTACAGTGTATTGCACTGCAATTGCCATGTTCTCTTGTCTTCCTACAGTAACATTTAACCCACACTGCTTGCTTTCATTTGACTTCATAAATAAGTAAAAAATGTATTGAATTCTTGTTTTTTTCTCAGGCAGGACATTTCAAATTCGTTTTCTCTTCTTTTTGGATACAGTGGAAGTTGATGATTCACCGGGCTTCTGTTGGTGGAAAACAAAATGATCATGTCAAAGGGGCTACGTCACGGTTTGCCTATCTTGAAAAATTAAGCCAAAATTTTTCAAGTTCGCCGTTTGTAATCCGTGTTAATCCTCTCCATCCTTAACCAACTTTGTTCCATTATGGTTTATTATAATTATTACATCTTTGGTGTTTTTCTGTCTTAGTAAACTACTATTTTCAGGTTTCCTTCAATTTAAAGGCAATTAAAAATACCAGTGACTAAGCTCTTTTAAGGTGTAGCACGTTGTGACATTGAAGTAAGAGGTCAGTCAGTGGTCTGATAAACAGAACATCAGTAAAGCGTCAAGATAACATACACTTGTGGAACATTATTGTACCATGTGAGGAAAAAAATCATAATAATTATCCCTGTGGTTTGACATAATTATCATTCCTGGTTTTCCCAGAATACATGTACCTGAACTATATTTAGAGTTTGCTGCATATTTTGTGCAGGGGAAGGTGAGATTTCCTGTGTATTCTGATGTGTCCTTGACAACTGAAAATAAAAATGGACCAAATTTTTACTAGGCTGTGCACAAGGCTAAGGAGAATAATTATTAATAGTATATTTTCTGGTGGCTTGGGAGTGGTTAAAAGTTTTGGAGATTGCAGTTTTGAAAAAGAGGTTTGGGGTATTGGTGTTTTGTGGTGTTCTCTTCTGAAAACCGTGGAGATGCAGTGGCCTCATGGTTAGTTCACTCAACTTCAGGACATTGTGATATGTTCTTGGGTAAGACACTACTCTCACAGTGCCTCTCTCCACCCAGGTGGGCAAATGGGTACCAGCGAATTTAAAGCTGGGGGTAACCCTGTATGATAGACCAGCATCCCATTCAGGGGGGAGTAGAAATACTTCTGGTCACTTCATGCTACTGAAACCGAGATAAGCTCCAGCCTGATGGGCCACTTGGCTCGTATGCAGTCTTAACCTACCTACTTTCTAAAATACAATAATTCTCTTGCACTGTGGCATTGCTATTTTCACACAGGTGAGAACAGAAATGTTCAGCACCCTTTGCAAGCTACTGTAGTTTAAGACAAGAAGACTTTACCTGGTGCAGTCGTTTTCTGATCGAAAATGCAGTCTTATCAAGAGAATTGTCACCAGTCTGTGGAAAAAAAACTTATAGTAAATTAACTCAAGACTCTGGACCAGTTGTTCAAATGATGAAGAACAATATTATCCTCTGGACAATTTAAGTACAATCAGTAGCATAGTACATAATATTTCTTGTTGACATCTGTCCAGTGAACAGCTTAATGATCTGTTCAGCACATTATCAGCATTATCCGTCTTTGGAGGACCATGGCTTAGTTCGTAATGATTGTAGAGTCCTATTCTTTGACACTCAGATACAAGACAATAAAACCCCACACCAGTTGGTAAAAAGCTTTAATGTATGTGTTTCTTAATGCCGAGGGCATTTTTTTTTTTTGAAAATAAACCTTGTAGACATTGCATTTATCATCATTCTCGACATCTTCTCTTTTTGACAGCAATGCATTGCTACAGGTTTGCTGAACATACACGTATGTACATAGAAGTACAAGCCAAAGGAGAAAATAACACTAACTTATTCTCTTCACTAATCACTTAACTAGGAAAACATAAGGATAAATAGACCTTCAATTGGTGCGGAAAGATGTTTGGATATTTGTCTGTGTAGCTCAAGGAAAACTGTGAGCTTTGAGGAACAGATAATGTCCAAGGACAAATATCTTCAGGAGCATATTTTCGTGCTACATGGAGGCTATTGTCAGTGTTAATTATTCTTCAAATATTTTTTTGCAACATGCGCGGTTTTTAAAATTGGGGAATATCACTCGCATATTCCCCAGTGCAAGCTGGGGAATATTCAGTCACGTGATACATTTAGACCAATAGTATGTGAGTGAAAATATTTGATGGATTATAATTAATGATAATCAGGGGACTGCTGAGTTTAGTAGTAAGCCAACTTTCCTCACTTTCCATATGGATACTAGTCTGTGTAAAGTTAGGTTCAAATGAATGCTATGACTTAAATCAGTTGGAGAATAACACAGTTCAGTGATTAGTAATGCTTCATTGTCTCTACCAGGAACTGATATTCCAATACTGCACAACTTGTGAAACCATACAGCAAAACTACACCTTTAAATACGACACATCAGTAACAACTATGCTGTATTTTTATAGACAGTAGAAAAAGTTAAAATAGTTACCAAGGAAAGCCTGTTTGACGAAGTTCTGAAAAGCAATTAAACAAAAACAATTAACTCACTACAAAAGCTGGAAAGAAAACAGAAAAATACATACCATATCAGAGACTGAAGTTAGGGTATCAGTGATTCTAAAGTTTGGACAATAAAAATTTTGCGATGTGTTCTCCTCATGTGAAATGTGCAGTATGTTTTATATTCTAATTCGCTGCCCCACTCAACCGAATATAACACATTTATCATGTAATAAGCAACCACTTGTGGGGTGTGTCAACACGAGCTGTGTATAGCCCTCTTTATTATGTCTTATCAATCAAAATTACATAGACTAATCAACAATGTAAGCGCAAAATAACAAAAACTAAAAATACAACTGAACAATGACACGTAGTGTATAGTATAAAGTTTATAACGATCCAAACATAAGCTAGTATAATGTAAATACAAAACATGTCAAGCCAATACTTGAAAATACTAATTGAATTTAGTCATTGGGTATTTAATTTAGATGGGCGAAGAGGCAGTTGTATGACTTGAATGAATACAAATGAAGACAACGCTATATATATATACCGACGCCCCGCTAATGAAGCATTGTGACAAAGTGTCACATAACACCCAAAAGGAGGTTAAGTAACCCATGCTAAATACATTTCTCTTCATCCATAACATTTTCTGACAATAGGTAATTTACATAGTGGAGAAACTAAATCACTATCAAGGTAAATAAAATTTCTTCTAAAGTGTACCAGGAGGACTACAGAACATGTACTACTGAGTACAAATTAAAGGTATCATACAGTAATACTAAGTAGTGGGGATATTGAAAGTGTGGAGGCAAATATAAAATTTACAAACAATAATCATTATTAATATAATTATTATTTATACCACAAACAGTTTATCAAATTATGGGATTACATACCATGTTCAAGTCATGTGCATATGAACTCACCCCTCTTCAGGTTGTGGTCCTATCATGACCTGCGACATGTAAACAGTAAATGGCTTCTCCTGTCCTGGTCCTTTGCTTGTCTTTGTATCACATACAGGTGACTCAGGAGGGGGAGGTGGAGGTGGAGGTGGTGGGGGAGGAGGGGGAGGGGGTAAATTTTGCAAGTAAACTGGAAGTGTAGCATGTGCTGATGGCACCCGGGGAAATTCCCAAGGGGGTGGGGGTGGAGGTGGAGGGTATTGGTATGGATGAAGATGCTGTGGTGGTGGTGGAAGGATCGGGTAGTCAACAGAAGAACCTGACGGAATTGTGTAAGGAGTGGAGCACACTTCATGTAAAGTGCCTGATGGCGTTACTCTGCAATGGTCTGTTTGGTGAACTGCCGATTGTTGTCCATGGATATCAGAAGATGACTCCAGATTTCTCTTGCTTTCCTCTTGCAGGGTGCTCTTCAATGAAGACTCCCCTATAGAGGTAGCTTTAGGACTGGATGTTTTTACTTGTGCACCAAACAGCTCTGTTAACAAAAAACACTTATATCAAAAATGGTGTACAATACATGTAGCTTGCTATGACGTTTGTAAACAATGTATCAGTGATAACCTTCAAAAATGGATGTCATGTCATCGATTTGAACGAGGCATACATACATGTAAATATATAAACTAGACATAACTTTTAACATACTTCACACAGACTAAGTGACTGAGTGTGTGAACTCTCGAAGTCCCTTTGCAATTGGCAACCTCTATGTTGTCTACAAAATGATTAAAACTGGCCCTCAAATGATTAAGTTTTTTAACAGCGGAGCTTCGCCTGTTGACCGCTGACCAAGTGCTGATTTTAAATTAGATCACAAGCTCAAGCCTGGTTAACTTATTGTAATCGCAGAGCTGGGTTGTTCGGAAGCTGGTTAACACTAACCTGGGTTTAAAAGTTTGAGGTTATTCAAACTCAAAACAAAAGGCCAAACAATATATAAACAGAACATCTCACCTCAAAGCCAGTTACAAAACTCCTGGGTTAGCTTAATTGCACTTTGAACAACCCGCTCCAGGGACTCTACTTTTGGGCTTGGCTAAATCTACATATTATTTTGTTAAATACACCTTTCTCATCATGCAAGTCAGAAACCTACATTTTGACTTTTTTTTTTTCAAGCTGCAAGGTTGAACTCAAGATGTTCCAAAGTTATTATCATAACTAGAAATTAAAATATTGCTAGTAAGTTACAAAAAAAAGTTAATGGTCCTAGTCACCTCTTGTCTTCTTTGCAATAACTTTTCTCCTTTCCTGGAGCTTTTCTCTTGTATCATCAACTGTTTCAAATTCTGGCGCATAACAGACATGCAAAATACCTCCAAAGAATGACCTGTTATCCAACTTCTTCTTTGCAATTCTAAAAAATAATGAGAGAATTATACCACTCCTATAAAACAAACTTGAAACATTTTCTTCATTGCATGATGATCGAGCAATCACACTGTATGATGTATATAAACATACATATACACATACTTCTTTTCAGTAGAAAAATATATGGACTGTGACTGGGCACCACTCATCTCTCTAAGGTTTATCCACGAATGCAAGTGTGAAAGGGTAAAGTACATGTAGACTAGAAGGGGCTGATATAAGATGAGACTCACCTTCTCTACCTGATTTTGAAGGGAAAAAAAAACTTCCTGCAGTCAAATACAAATACAGCTAGCCGTAAAACACTTACAGATTCAACTGATAAAAGGTTTGCTTTTTTTAGAACTTTTTGCACTACACGTCTTATTCAACACAAGTTTTGTACATGTCTTACGCAGCTTAAAGGTATTTCTTGCAAATTGTTGCTTGACATGCCCATTGTTTACGTATGTAACATTTCTGCAGAAACCAAAACCAAAGTTATGCACAGTTTGTACACAATACCTTGCTGAATTGATTTTCTGAAACTTGATCCAGTAAACCTCTGTGAAAGGCTCTGTTGGATACTCATCCAAGATGCGATACCTTCGTAAGAAATAGACACTTGTCACTCATTTATTGTTAGTTTGACTGGATGGGGTGCTAGACCATACATGCAGTTCATTCATTCCTGTACATGCATCTCCATCAACCATCTCCAACATAGTTTAAACTTTAACTGCTGTACAAATGTCAGAAAACAGATACATGATACACTAGGTAAGATTTCAAACTTTATTGCAGAATTTTGGAGGAAAATGGTGACCATTTCATTTAAATCAAATTTTGTCAAATTCTTACAGCACCCTAGCATCATCATCCAGCATTTCTGCCTTTCTAAGCCTGACACAACATATGGGCAGAACCCACTGTTAAAGCCATTGTTAACTGTCAGATCATGTAGTGATGCCTAACATGCTAGGGTGCATTCAGTGTAGGTTACGCCAAAGATCTTTTGTGTGGCCTTAACATTTTTGTGGCATACCGGCATGCATTTGGAGTTTTTGGCCGGCATGCACATTTATATTTGCTGGTGCTGGTATATAAACACTTAATGACACAAGGTGAATTGGCATCATAACTATGGCTTCTTGTTAACATTTCTCTTTATCCCCCCATATCCTAGCTGATATCGGGCATCTTATACGACCCGTTCAAGTCCAAATTTTCCCACCTGTGTTGGTGTTGGCATTCTTAAAATAATTTTCCTCTGAGTGGGACTTTGGCTGCTTGCCAGGCACATGGCGTGGAATTTAAAAGGCCTTGGCCTATCTTCAACATGGAAGTCTTGCAGAATGTACCCTGGCTGAGGTGCTCAACATTTCCACGACAAAGAACTTTCCATTTTTTTTTTTTTTAAAAAGACCTAAGAACGCGTATAAAAAAGCCTTGTTGGTATAAAAAACTGTTAACTACTTTTCGCATGTGTTTCAGGAATAGATTGCATGATAATACAGGTAGCTTACTCTTCAATTGCGCCATAGAGTGCAAACAACTCCAGTAATTCTTTTGTCGCACCCACTGCAGGAATGCCTTGAACCAGAACATACTTGGATTCCAAATTTATGGTGTAAACCTTAAAAAAACAAGGATACCTAATTTAGCTACAGAGCTTTTTCAAGAGTACAACATGGAAATGGTCTACAAACTACAGTACAAACCTGACAAACACCATATTTGCAAGAAGTTAGTAACTACTACAAACCTTAACTGATCTCTCCCAGCGGGCTTCTCGATACTTTGGTCTATTATAACTTAACTTGTCTTGTTTGTGATGTTTCTTAACAGAGGAAACGTCCACAGTTGACGAATTTGTACCTGTAGACCAGTTGTCCGTGTCGTCCGCCATCTTGGGAGATGATCCATAATGTTACATGACGTTTCTATCTCCACATCTGCGCTACGTAACCGCTGACTGGTGTCTATCGCTGAAGACTAAAAAGCGCGACAAAGGGCCACTAAATATAGTATTGGGCTTGTTTAAATTATTTTTTTTGTACACTTTTAGCGATTTTTATTTCATTTTAAAATGACCACTAAAAAGAGGAAGCAAGCCCCTAACCAGCAAGGCCAGAAGTCAAGCGCTGGAAGTACCACACAGTCGAAATCACCGGGGCGAATCAAGCTGAAATCAAAACACAAAGAGGAGAGCGGCGCGAAAATTACTTCCTCTTGGCTGATTCCATTCACAAAATATGGCAGTGGTTACGCTTCTCTGGTGCTGATCATCGGTATATATTTCATTTTTTGGAGGCATTGTTCGTTTTTGCCGTTGTAAATTACTTTTTATCCCTGTTTTCCCGATAAGTGATATAGTCAAAGAAGACCTTGTGTTGCATAGTGCAGCCATTATTTAGAGTTTTAAATTGAATTTCAGCAAAGATTGAACTTACCTAAAAAGACTTGTTTTCTTGATCCTACAGCTGTGGGCTTTGGGATTTTCCACAGGTGAGGTAACCTGACATAAATGTTAAATAAATCGTGGTAAATTGTCTCATTAAAAAAAAAAAATTGAAACGAATTAATTGTAACGAGGTGGTAATTGATCAGGTATAAAAAGCTTACACTGTAAGCTTATTAAAATTAATTCTTATGTTAGAACAATCGTAAGTAAATAATGTCGCCATTGTGTCCGGCTTTATCTCGGTAGCTATCACGTCTCCAGAATGTTTGAAAACGAGCGGTTTTTCTCGCACTTGTCTGCATTGGAGAGGGAATTGTCTTTCAGAACAGAGATGGTGAGCTTGTTTCCTCTTTATTTCAGCTGAATAATTAATGCAGGGATAATTTGTGTAAAGAAAGAAGTGAGCAAGTCGTCACTGCTGTTAGATCTTTCATACCCTTTTTTTTTCTGTATTGGTTTAACATTTATTGTGATGCCTTATTGGCTTTATTTAGGGGACATTGACATGTTCACTTGCCCAGTCAGATCTTCCCCCCTCCCCCCTCCCCCTTCCTTAACATCAGTCCACTTGGAATTTTGTGCCCCTATAGTCAATAGGCCATGTTCGATATATTGATCAATATTCTAACATGGATCCGAAGCTTTCAGGTCAAAATTGCAAATTTTTGAAGTCTCTTTTGTCTCACAATTCCCAAAAGAGACTCGGATACATAGAAACTTTAATTTGTAAATTGACTGTTAAGCTTTCTCCTGCCTGTTCTATTGAAAAATCTGTGCCCCCTTTTTCCTATTTACATTTTCTATTTTCAGCTACAGTGTTCAGAAATACTAACTTGCTGGAAACACGGGCTTCTCAAGTTCAAAATATGTGGTGTACATGTATGCATGTACATGTATGCGACAGCTTGTATATAAGAATTGAGAACTGTATGGGAATTGTATACACCACGTATTTTGAGCTTGGGAAGCCTGTGCTGGAAATAGAGAACTGAAGTGTATAAATTTAATTGGTACCGGTATATTATTAAATGTCTGGAAGTGTAATTTTCTTCTTTGATCCAAACAGGGCCTGTACTATTCATATTATAAAACTATTGCGGAAGCTCCAACATTTATTGGAGGTGTTCATGCCATTATGAACTGTAATGTAACAGAATATCCCGACACTATCAACACTCTCAAAAGATTTAATTTATACCCAGAGGTGAGTAATGGTCACTTGTAATTAGGTCTTGAATTCTCTCTGTTACTTATAGGTCATATAAATAAATGAATTGATCATCTCAGGAAAATACAGGGTACTTTCTATTATTCCAAAGACTCCAGAAATTTGGGTCCGAAGTCAAATGGAAAGGTCCGTTTCAGTTCCTTCCGACCGGAATATTTGGAACCACCTCTGGAGGTGGTCCCAAGTACATGTATTCTGGTTCAGTGGTTGCAACATTCTGACCATATTTTGCCGTTCCATTTTGACAAACTGGTTCATTGCCCTACTTCTCTTCACTTATGTACAAAATTCGGAAAAGGAATAAAAAAATGGCAAAAGCCATTCCTCTTGGTTAGCCCGGTTTGATTGGAAAATGTCGTTCCATTTTCCTCAGGTATTCCCACTGGTTTCTGACATAATGGAGAGCACCCACAATGTTAAACAAATTTCTCTTGTAGCCATGGGAAAGTTACTATAACTAAGCTGAGCTCTCCACTAGCAAGGGCTCAAAAAAAGTGCTGTTCAGTCATTCGGGACAAGTAAATTCTCCTTCTGGGCAAGTACCTTTTCATTCTCACTTGCCTGATGGGCAAGAGGTCAAGCAAGTTGTCTACCAACTAAGTCATTAAAACTTAAGCAAACTAAGACTTGCCCAGGGCAAGCAAACTTTGACTTGTCCTAAGGGCAAGCTGGAATTCAATTTTTTTTTTTTTAGCCCTGTCCAAGCTTCTAGCCTGAAAAATTTGATATAATAGTGGCTGCCCAAAATGTGCTTTTAATAGGGTGTGCTCAAATAAGCAATTTATAAATGCAATATGTGAAAAATGTGAACTGAAAATTTTCTATGAAAAGCTAAAAACCTAGGGCACTTGTTTTGCACCATCAATTCTGCCCCATAAGGGTGATGTCTGATATTTAACCCCCAAAGTTCCATTCTGATGAGCCTAATTTAGAGGTTCATCTCAAAATTGAAAACTGAGCAAATTCCAGTCAGAGAATCTGGGTCATGTATTCTAACCAGTATTAGTAGAATTCTACTAGTATACTAATGCAAATGCTATAATCTGATTGGCTGAGCCACTGAACACCATCAGCCATTAGGGTGCAGTGGCTGGAGGTCGTCTTGGAAATGACGACGTTTTTTTTCGTTTTTCCAAAGTTTTGGAGGAAAATTTTGATGCAAATGGATAAATAAATTCCTAAGAAGTCTAAACGAAGGACATTTACGGTTTCTTGACTTTTAAAAAAGTTGAAATTATTGAAAAAACTGATGCGCACGTGCACAAAACTTCAATTTTAAATGGCAATTCAACATGAGCGATCTTTTTCAGGCTCAAAGTTTAATAATACCTCAAGCAATAATTGGAAATCGTTATCTGAAGTAAATTTTAGTAACAATTCTACTAAAACAATTAGATTATTTGCTCTCGATTTCTATGAGGTGATAGTTGATGAGGCCTATCACCTCATAGAAACCTCGAGCTCATAATCTAATTGTTAAATAGAATATTTTGGTCAGATCTTACTAACAATTAAGCTACTTGTGAAGGAAAATTGAATGTGAAAAGGGAGATATGCGTAATTTATAGAGTACTGAAAAGCTGAAGCGAGGAACAAATCAAATTTTCTTTCAGGGTTAAGAAAAACTTACTGAGACAAGTCAGAGAGGTTTAATTATTAAATACTAACTAAAAGTTAAAAACCTGAGTGCTAATTTTTTTTAAAAACCTACACAGGGCTGTCATTAAGTTTTGAGTTACCTGTAGCCTAGATCTTCACACCCGTAACAAACTTGTTACTTTGAGGGTGAATTGTATCAAGAAAAGCCAATTTCACCCATTACATCAAGGGCCTATCAAGCATACTTGGCTACAACAGGTGTTACGGGTTATGGCCCTTTATGAAAGTCCTGCTACAAGCCTCTAGAGTGATTATAATTAATCTTATAATCTTCTCACTGAATAGAGTGAGTCATATTTTTTTCAGAACAGTATGATAACAGGATGCCTGTTCTCTCATTTATTCTTATATTTAACCTTCTAATTAATGTATTACTAACTGAATGCATGGATATGTTACTGTTATGATTGATTAAATGCTACCGGTATGTCGCAAATAGAGGTTGGGTGTCCAGGAGCCTGGGGGTTGGCCCAAGTGCTTACCCAAATCCAGAAGCCTGCCCTATGGATCTGCACCCCAGGCACCCAAACAATTGCCTCAGCCCTAACACTGAGTCTCCAACTGTAGGGGTGCTTGCAGCCGGCAGCCAGGTGAGGGTAAATATAGTATTATTGTTTTTCTTTGCTGCAGGTCGTGCTGGGATTTGCTTTTCGTATGTATGTTTGGTTAACAACAAGCTTGAATATTCACACCAAGACGTGTTACACAGTTAACAGGGGTTACAACCAACCTCCAGTTCAAAGCTGTGAAGGTAAGCGTATTGTATAGATTTATCAAATTTCTTGTAGAGTTTTCCAAATTGATGATGCAACCTGCCTGAACAGACTTTTTGGTTCATTTGAAAACTAATTATAAATATAACTAATTAAAGACAATATTACAACAGAGCCATGCTTTCCTTGGCCATTTTAATGAAGGTGCTTAAGGTCATTTTGTCTATTGACTTTGAATTGCCTGTAGTAAGAATCATTTATTAAACAATAATTATTTAGTTAAATAGTAGGATAACTATAAGTAAACTTAGATGTTAGAAAAGACAAAAATGAGTCAAAAGAAATTTAAACCTGGCTTGGACTTCCACACATACTGTAGCTGGAATTTTTACTGAGAGGCTCGACAGGCCTGAACTGATGTGGGAGTTAATAAAAGTGGTTACAAGTTGTAGATTAATAAAATAATGTTTCCTTAAAAAAATCCTTTAAATTCCTTAAAGCTAGATGTCCTATGTGGCAGGCAATCCTACATAGTGTCAAGATTAGTTGTCACCTGATGGTGAAAATAAAAGCGAAAAAAAGAGGTGATGAAAAAAGGTTTGGGTCTGGGTTGGGCCAAGTGGTCCATACTCGTCCATACTCGGTTTATATGTAGAATTATTAAGAAACTTATAGGGCTGGTCTAGGGTATTTCTACTCCACCCTGGATGGGATGCTAGTCCATCACAGGGTAATTACCCCCATTATATAATATGGTACTCATTTATACACCTTGGTGGAGAGAAGACTGTGAAGCAAAGTGAAGTGTCTTGCCCTAGATTAATAACACATTGCAATGACCCCAGCTAGCAGGGCTCAAACCTACACCAGTCAATCCAGAATCCAGCACACTAACCGTCAGGTCCCTGTGTCCCCCTGTTTCAGGTATGGGAGAATTGTCTTTCTTCTATGTGTATGCCATCTTCTATTTAAGTGGACTCATGATGTCCATGTTCTTCTTGCTCTGTTTTTATTTAAGGTAAGAAATGATTAATTTTTATTATTTTTTTTTAANTAATTGATCAGGTATAAAAAGCTTACACTGTAAGCTTATTAAAATTAATTCTTATGTTAGAACAATCGTAAGTAAATAATGTCGCCATTGTGTCCGGCTTTATCTCGGTAGCTATCACGTCTCCAGAATGTTTGAAAACGAGCGGTTTTTCTCGCACTTGTCTGCATTGGAGAGGGAATTGTCTTTCAGAACAGAGATGGTGAGCTTGTTTCCTCTTTATTTCAGCTGAATAATTAATGCAGGGATAATTTGTGTAAAGAAAGAAGTGAGCAAGTCGTCACTGCTGTTAGATCTTTCATACCCTTTTTTTTTCTGTATTGGTTTAACATTTATTGTGATGCCTTATTGGCTTTATTTAGGGGACATTGACATGTTCACTTGCCCAGTCAGATCTTCCCCCCTCCCCCCTCCCCCTTCCTTAACATCAGTCCACTTGGAATTTTGTGCCCCTATAGTCAATAGGCCATGTTCGATATATTGATCAATATTCTAACATGGATCCGAAGCTTTCAGGTCAAAATTGCAAATTTTTGAAGTCTCTTTTGTCTCACAATTCCCAAAAGAGACTCGGATACATAGAAACTTTAATTTGTAAATTGACTGTTAAGCTTTCTCCTGCCTGTTCTATTGAAAAATCTGTGCCCCCTTTTTCCTATTTACATTTTCTATTTTCAGCTACAGTGTTCAGAAATACTAACTTGCTGGAAACACGGGCTTCTCAAGTTCAAAATATGTGGTGTACATGTATGCATGTACATGTATGCGACAGCTTGTATATAAGAATTGAGAACTGTATGGGAATTGTATACACCACGTATTTTGAGCTTGGGAAGCCTGTGCTGGAAATAGAGAACTGAAGTGTATAAATTTAATTGGTACCGGTATATTATTAAATGTCTGGAAGTGTAATTTTCTTCTTTGATCCAAACAGGGCCTGTACTATTCATATTATAAAACTATTGCGGAAGCTCCAACATTTATTGGAGGTGTTCATGCCATTATGAACTGTAATGTAACAGAATATCCCGACACTATCAACACTCTCAAAAGATTTAATTTATACCCAGAGGTGAGTAATGGTCACTTGTAATTAGGTCTTGAATTCTCTCTGTTACTTATAGGTCATATAAATAAATGAATTGATCATCTCAGGAAAATACAGGGTACTTTCTATTATTCCAAAGACTCCAGAAATTTGGGTCCGAAGTCAAATGGAAAGGTCCGTTTCAGTTCCTTCCGACCGGAATATTTGAAACCACCTCTGGAGGTGGTCCCAAGTACATGTATTCTGGTTCAGTGGTTGCAACATTCTGACCATATTTTGCCGTTCCATTTTGACAAACTGGTTCATTGCCCTACTTCTCTTCACTTATGTACAAAATTCGGAAAAGGAATAAAAAAATGGCAAAAGCCATTCCTCTTGGTTAGCCCGGTTTGATTGGAAAATGTCGTTCCATTTTCCTCAGGTATTCCCACTGGTTTCTGACATAATGGAGAGCACCCACAATGTTAAACAAATTTCTCTTGTAGCCATGGGAAAGTTACTATAACTAAGCTGAGCTCTCCACTAGCAAGGGCTCAAAAAAAGTGCTGTTCAGTCATTCGGGACAAGTAAATTCTCCTTCTGGGCAAGTACCTTTTCATTCTCACTTGCCTGATGGGCAAGAGGTCAAGCAAGTTGTCTACCAACTAAGTCATTAAAACTTAAGCAAACTAAGACTTGCCCAGGGCAAGCAAACTTTGACTTGTCCTAAGGGCAAGCTGGAATTCAATTTTTTTTTTTTTAGCCCTGTCCAAGCTTCTAGCCTGAAAAATTTGATATAATAGTGGCTGCCCAAAATGTGCTTTTAATAGGGTGTGCTCAAATAAGCAATTTATAAATGCAATATGTGAAAAATGTGAACTGAAAATTTTCTATGAAAAGCTAAAAACCTAGGGCACTTGTTTTGCACCATCAATTCTGCCCCATAAGGGTGATGTCTGATATTTAACCCCCAAAGTTCCATTCTGATGAGCCTAATTTAGAGGTTCATCTCAAAATTGAAAACTGAGCAAATTCCAGTCAGAGAATCTGGGTCATGTATTCTAACCAGTATTAGTAGAATTCTACTAGTATACTAATGCAAATGCTATAATCTGATTGGCTGAGCCACTGAACACCATCAGCCATTAGGGTGCAGTGGCTGGAGGTCGTCTTGGAAATGACGACGTTTTTTTTCGTTTTTCCAAAGTTTTGGAGGAAAATTTTGATGCAAATGGATAAATAAATTCCTAAGAAGTCTAAACGAAGGACATTTACGGTTTCTTGACTTTTAAAAAAGTTGAAATTATTGAAAAAACTGATGCGCACGTGCACAAAACTTCAATTTTAAATGGCAATTCAACATGAGCGATCTTTTTCAGGCTCAAAGTTTAATAATACCTCAAGCAATAATTGGAAATCGTTATCTGAAGTAAATTTTAGTAACAATTCTACTAAAACAATTAGATTATTTGCTCTCGATTTCTATGAGGTGATAGTTGATGAGGCCTATCACCTCATAGAAACCTCGAGCTCATAATCTAATTGTTAAATAGAATATTTTGGTCAGATCTTACTAACAATTAAGCTACTTGTGAAGGAAAATTGAATGTGAAAAGGGAGATATGCGTAATTTATAGAGTACTGAAAAGCTGAAGCGAGGAACAAATCAAATTTTCTTTCAGGGTTAAGAAAAACTTACTGAGACAAGTCAGAGAGGTTTAATTATTAAATACTAACTAAAAGTTAAAAACCTGAGTGCTAATTTTTTTTAAAAACCTACACAGGGCTGTCATTAAGTTTTGAGTTACCTGTAGCCTAGATCTTCACACCCGTAACAAACTTGTTACTTTGAGGGTGAATTGTATCAAGAAAAGCCAATTTCACCCATTACATCAAGGGCCTATCAAGCATACTTGGCTACAACAGGTGTTACGGGTTATGGCCCTTTATGAAAGTCCTGCTACAAGCCTCTAGAGTGATTATAATTAATCTTATAATCTTCTCACTGAATAGAGTGAGTCATATTTTTTTCAGAACAGTATGATAACAGGATGCCTGTTCTCTCATTTATTCTTATATTTAACCTTCTAATTAATGTATTACTAACTGAATGCATGGATATGTTACTGTTATGATTGATTAAATGCTACCGGTATGTCGCAAATAGAGGTTGGGTGTCCAGGAGCCTGGGGGTTGGCCCAAGTGCTTACCCAAATCCAGAAGCCTGCCCTATGGATCTGCACCCCAGGCACCCAAACAATTGCCTCAGCCCTAACACTGAGTCTCCAACTGTAGGGGTGCTTGCAGCCGGCAGCCAGGTGAGGGTAAATATAGTATTATTGTTTTTCTTTGCTGCAGGTCGTGCTGGGATTTGCTTTTCGTATGTATGTTTGGTTAACAACAAGCTTGAATATTCACACCAAGACGTGTTACACAGTTAACAGGGGTTACAACCAACCTCCAGTTCAAAGCTGTGAAGGTAAGCGTATTGTATAGATTTATCAAATTTCTTGTAGAGTTTTCCAAATTGATGATGCAACCTGCCTGAACAGACTTTTTGGTTCATTTGAAAACTAATTATAAATATAACTAATTAAAGACAATATTACAACAGAGCCATGCTTTCCTTGGCCATTTTAATGAAGGTGCTTAAGGTCATTTTGTCTATTGACTTTGAATTGCCTGTAGTAAGAATCATTTATTAAACAATAATTATTTAGTTAAATAGTAGGATAACTATAAGTAAACTTAGATGTTAGAAAAGACAAAAATGAGTCAAAAGAAATTTAAACCTGGCTTGGACTTCCACACATACTGTAGCTGGAATTTTTACTGAGAGGCTCGACAGGCCTGAACTGATGTGGGAGTTAATAAAAGTGGTTACAAGTTGTAGATTAATAAAATAATGTTTCCTTAAAAAAATCCTTTAAATTCCTTAAAGCTAGATGTCCTATGTGGCAGGCAATCCTACATAGTGTCAAGATTAGTTGTCACCTGATGGTGAAAATAAAAGCGAAAAAAAGAGGTGATGAAAAAAGGTTTGGGTCTGGGTTGGGCCAAGTGGTCCATACTCGTCCATACTCGGTTTATATGTAGAATTATTAAGAAACTTATAGGGCTGGTCTAGGGTATTTCTACTCCACCCTGGATGGGATGCTAGTCCATCACAGGGTAATTACCCCCATTATATAATATGGTACTCATTTATACACCTTGGTGGAGAGAAGACTGTGAAGCAAAGTGAAGTGTCTTGCCCTAGATTAATAACACATTGCAATGACCCCAGCTAGCAGGGCTCAAACCTACACCAGTCAATCCAGAATCCAGCACACTAACCGTCAGGTCCCTGTGTCCCCCTGTTTCAGGTATGGGAGAATTGTCTTTCTTCTATGTGTATGCCATCTTCTATTTAAGTGGACTCATGATGTCCATGTTCTTCTTGCTCTGTTTTTATTTAAGGTAAGAAATGATTAATTTTTATTATTATTTTTTTAATGAAACTAATAAATAAATATCCTTATGATCTATTTCTAGTTTATACTAGATTCCAAAGAATCTGTGGGTTTCCAGTTGTACCAGGGCAGCTGGTAAAGAGTACATTCAGCACCACGAATGTTAGAATTTTCAGTCTCACTTTGTAATTCTTGTTAAGAGTTTTTAAAGTTTGATATTGGACTCGTCATGATCAGCAGCTTCAATTCAAACGTGCAAGTTAAAAGATTGTCTGAGCCCCTGTAGTATCATACATTGTTATAATTCCACATTTTCCTATCTTCAAAAATAATACAAGAAGCATTTTTTTTATTTTATTTCAAAAGAACTTTTTCAAAATGCACATTTGTGAAAACATGATCTTAAGTTTTACTTCCATGTTATTTACAAATCATGGTCAAAATTTTACAATTTATTGTCGTCACAAATGTTGGTCTTGCCTTTTTTTTTCTAGTGGCAGTATTCTTGGTGGAGTTATAGGTACACTCTCTTACTTCTATAACCATGGTGAGGTAAGCTGCTTCTGGTGCAATCTTTGTTACATGATCATAGGACATTTGAAAACTGCAACTAACAGTATTAATAAATATGTTATTTGAGGCTCAAAGATCTCATTACTCAAAAATTGAGAAGCCTTGCACAATGCCTTCCTAATAATTGAATTATGATTATCATAATGATTCTTTTTTGTTGTAGCTTTACCTACATGTATTACATATTTTGATCTTGTAATCGGACAGTGAGTAGGTGATGGCACTAATCTTGTTCTTCTTTTTAATTGTAAATTTTCTGTTCAGTGCACCAGGGTTATGTGGACGCCACCACTGAGAGAAAGTTTTTCATATCCATTTCTTGTTTTCCAACTACTGGCTGTTACTCTGACACTCAAGTATGTGAATCAAGTTTTAATGTATAAAATATTTAATTCCAGACTGGCTTCACATCAGTTTTCAAAGTCACAAGCAAACAATTAGTTTGAAATACCGACTATGGATTTTGTGGCAAGTCCCTGCTAAGTTATTGACAGAAATGCTCAAAAAATGCAACAGTTTTGATGTGCACATTGACTACAATACCCATGATAGCAACAACAACAAAGTCAACATTGAGATATGCATTCACATAATTACACCCTGTATATAGATTACATGTATGCATACCTAAATATATTCTCTAAAGTCTTGCCTTGGACGTAAGCTTTGAGCAACAGAGCCTACAGACAGCAGTTTCCGGTCACACTGCTATTTTAAGGTGAAGGTGATCTCCCTCCTTGGTTACCCCCAGCCAAGACATTGGTAGAATCCACCTGGCAGTATGGAGTATCTCAGTGAAGGAAAAATGTTCTTTTGACCTGTACAGTGTACCTGCCATTGCTAAACTTTTGAATTTTTCTTCTCTCAGGTCTCCCAAGGCTGATTGGCGACACTTGTCATTAGTTGCCATAACAACTAGCTTATTTATGATTCCATGGCAGGTATGAGGGAAAGTGTGTTCTGCCTTTGGTTCGTAATTTTTTTCTTGGAAGTTGATATCACAATAACATGTAATTTATTTCTCACACGCTGAATGCCATTTGTCTGCTACACAATGCAACAGCACTTTATAACAAACAACAAACCTGAAAACAGCATCTGCAAGGACTAATGAATGCAAAAACTGTGACGTCAATTCTAAGCCTGTAGGCAAAAAACAGAATGTCAACAATACCTAGAATGTATCAGACGAGCGCAAACTGGCAAAGGGCTGCGTGGGCGGGAAAAGCTGTTGCTTGTATGGTGAGAAACAGAAAACTGAGTCACAAGACCTAGTGTGACATGGGAATCCTAACTTGGGCCCAGCCCCAGCTTCAGTGTGTGAGAACCTCATTTCTCGCCTCTTTTGCAAGCTTAGCCAGCGAGAAATCCATTTAGTGTATCTTGTATTTTTTTTTTGTTTTTCATCTTAGAGTGTACATTTATTTACATGTATCATTATGCTGTTTCTAAGTCTACTCCTTGATCGCTCTAAGCCTGAGCTGTTTTCCATTAAATATTCCCTTTCAGTTTGCTCAGTTTGCATTGCTGACACAGGTAAGTACAGCAGCAGTAATATCTAGATATCATGTCAAAATTATCAATTGAAAATAATTATAAATTTGCAGCCTCTGTGTCAAGATTTGCCACCTATCCACACCAACATCTGTCAATGTTGTCATTATTATTAAGAGCAAATACATGTATGGGAGAAATTCACTTTGTTTGAACTCCTATTGTATTACCTACTCTTTGATTTGTACGAAATAACTTAAACCCAGTATTTTTATTGGACAGGTACACCTTTAAGTTGTTTAATTAACAACTTGAAGTTATTTACTTTTGACAGACATGTGCCTTATTTGGATTATACTTTCTTCAGTTCATCACTTCACACAAATTGTGTAACATTCTATTTGGGCTGCTGGTATGTATAATTTCCCTATTTTTATATAAGTTGCAAGCCTCTTGTATTTTTTTGTGACAGGAATAATTTTGCATTTACAGCTATGTACTATTGTGAACCTTTAAAATTATGTGTGAAGAATACAAAAATTAAGGCAAGTTAAATTCAAAATCACACACAGATATTCAATATTTACATTGGCTAGTCTCCATCAGGCTCATACTCCATCATACTGTGCCTGAATTTCATACTACATACATTTGTCCTCACCAAGAAAGGGTTTCCATAAAGTGATTATGGTTGAAACTCGACTTGTATTAAATGCTTGTGAAGCTTCATTCCATACAATATCTCTTGTAGGTGGGGCATGTTTTGAACTTTATAATTCAGTTTGGAAACTCCATGCTTCTCAGGTAAGGATTTCACGTTAACATGCAGATTACATGTAAACCGACATGCTACATCACTGTAGCTGAGTCAAATGCAAAATTTTGCATTATAGGAGTCAGTATTTTTAATAGTTGCTGATAAACTGTGTCAATACTTTTATCAACAGTTCATTCTTCTTGTCAGCCCTTATCATAACTTTAGTAAGTATTACAAAACCAGAAGGATATATTGTTAATGTAAAGGATCGATAGTATTGTTAAACTTTATACACTTTTTATCATTTGTTGATACTAACCACTTATTAACCAAGAGTGGTAGAGGTCTTTATGGGAAAATCTCAAACCTCAGCCTTGGCTTATTGACCGAGCAATAGCAAGGTCAATATGCTAAGGCTGAGGTTTCAGAATATTCCATAAAGACTGAATGTTTGAGGTTTTAACTTGTTTATTTTGGCGGCCTGTGGGCATTATGGGAGAATAATGTCCTAGAGCTACCCAATCAGAGCCCATGTTATATCAGCTTCAAACAAAAACTATTTAATAATCGCAAGGAAGTTTATCGTTAATTGATTTTAAAATATAAAGGAAATTGCAATTAGTGACATTTTACATGTATTTTTCTGCAGATTATCGCCAAACTTGAGCCACTTATTTACCAAGTGCCACATCAGCTTCTCATATGGGTATGTTGAGAGTGTTATTAATTTTCAAACCGTTACGACAAACCGTTATTCAAACCGTTTTGACAACCATTTAATCTCCTCGAATTTTAGTTATTATTAATTGTGGTTATTTTCAGGTTATTCAAGCTGTGATGTTTCTCACTGGAGCCATAGGAATTAAGATTGCAATTGCAAAGATCCTTGGAATCGCAGATGATGTAAGCAAACTGATCTCATTCCTGTTGAACTCCAAAAATTGTTACACTGGACCTCTAACGCATTTGTGGCTACTTTTGTTGATGGCCCTGATAGCAATCCACTTCTGTTGTTTGTTGAAAGTTTTTGTGCCTTGGAGAAACGTGAGGAGTATTTTTACCACTCGTGGATGAGATGCATCAGCTCCTTTCCCGCTCACCCTCTCCGATACTTTTTTTCTCCAGTTGTCCTTCATTTACTTTGGTACCCATCTAATATACTCCTGGGTTTTAAGAGGCTCTGTAAGAGGTACGAGTCTTTCCAACAAACACTTGTACATGTAAGACGAGCTAATGAGGCGTCAAGGCACCAAATGTGCCTCTCGCCATCGCTGATTCCCCGAAAAAAAAAAAGACGATGCCATTTTTAACGGTTGATACCATAATTGGTAACCAAGCTTTTCGGAATGGACGATGTCATACCTGCTCTAGGTTAGGCCTGGACTAGGTCGAAACTGGTTATAATTTGGTGATAGACTTACAGACTCATGAAATGCGTAATTGTTCACTTTCACGCTGGTTTGCTTGCGGTTAGCTTTTATTTGTTGGTTAGAGCAATACCATAAGTAAAATAGACTACTACGGAAGCACATTTTATGATTAAATTTTGCGGGGAATCTGGCGGATCACCCTGGTGGTGTAGTGGTATGAGAGGGATGTTAGCATGGGGGAATTTACAGGTTTTAGGTGGTGAAACGTTAAAGCGGCAACGATCGTTTATGAAAGGAAAAAGTACCTTGTCACCTTGCTGCTAATGGCTAAAATTTAGAGCCTTAAAGAATTACATTGACGAGTAGCATCTAGTCTATCCCTTTGGTTGCAACAGTATGAATTCTTTTTATTCCATTTCAGGCACACATAACCAGCATCTTACGTTCCAAGTTTTCCAACTTCAGGAATTTTGACACCTCGTTGTACACGTGTGCTCCAGAGTTTGACTTCCTCGATCCAGAGGTTTGTTGGGAATAATGCAAAACGACATGTTTACATGTTTAACTCAGTTGTTCTTGTCAGTAAAAGGAATCATCGTTATTTTTGTTCTCTTTTTTTGTGATTCGCCGTATTTTCGGACATAGACCAGGGATATAAGCTTGAGACACTCGTAATTTTTTTTGTTCTTTGCTGAGCAATGTCAAACTTTGACTTAGAAGCCAATAGAAGGGGCAATGAAAAGCAGTTTTAGAACAAGCGTGCAAGTAGAATAAATATTTGGGATTGCTCTTTTGAAATATTTCGCTCAAAACTGTGCTTGTTTTTTCTTTGGAAATACTGCAGTAGTTGTGATGTGAATAGAACAATTTTTCTCACTTTCAAAACATTAAACCGGTTGGACCCATGACTGTCCCGGTGATTCATGTTGTTCTTCTGTAGACCCCAACAAAGTTGACAAAGACGTTGTTGTTACCAGCTGCAGCTGTTGGTATAACTGCGGTTGTCATGAAGGTGAAATAATGTCTTATTTTTAGAATAATTAACAGGCTTCTTAGAGCGGTTTTCATTTGAGTGTCGAGAAGTAATTGGTTTGACACTTTTACGCCACACGATTGGCTCAAAAAAGTCGCGCCACTTTTTCATCCAATCAGAAGTAAAGCCGAAACCAATTGTGACGCGTTCGCATGCATTTCCCCGCTCTTCACGTGGGCTACATGTGATTACTTCGAATTTTGATTGGCTCGCTGTAATGTCTGTGTTCTTTGTGACTGGCTAGAGTGATTGCTTTGGTTTTGGTTGTACAACACTCAATTGAAAACCACTCTATTATTTCTAATGATTCGTTATTATGAATTGTAACAGTTAATATGAATTTCCCAGACTGAATTACTATTTTCGATGAATGTTGATTGATAATGAGATTGCCAAAGAACGCCTCTATAGGCCAAGTTCCCTCTGTAGGTTGTAATTCGGTGTTAAAAGTTGTTACCTTTTTTTGCTGTGATCCAAAAAGGGTCCTTGTTACATGCAGAATGTAAGTTGAATTGAGATTCGTGCAGGTAAATTAGACGCGGTGTTGAAATTCTTCCTTCCTAACGACCTTGTTATCTACGTACAACCTCACTTTTTGCGAAGGGCCTCTCGAATCTTCTAATCCTTCATTTCAGATTCTTGGAAATGAATGGAAGGCTTGGATGGCTGAAAAAGACAAGTCGGACAAAGCAATAGAATCAGAACCCGAATCAGATGAAGAAGAAAAAGATGATTATAAGTAAGGCCCCGTTCACGCTGCGCCGGAGGAATTTGAAAACGCAGCTTTATTTCAAAGGCTAGGTCTACCGTCCACACTAATCTGCCACGAAATGGAGCTTTTCGAAAACGCTCTTCAAACCAGAGGAATTTGAAAACGCCGGCTTTTCGTTTTCGTGTAGACATAAAACTTTGAAATCGGATTTTTTCGAAAACGATGGCCTAGTTTTCCGTCAAAAATGACCGGTGGTTGTTGCGTTTTTAAATTCCTCCGGCGTAGTGTGGAGGGAAACGTTTTCATAGTGAAACCTCCGTTTTCAGATTCCTCCGGCATAGTGTGGACCGGTCGTGAGACTTCAAGTATATTACCAAAATGTTCTGACAACGATGAAATGCAATTTATGGCGCTGTCCGGCTTACGGTGTTGGGCCANAAAAAAAAAAAAAAAAAAAAAAAAAAAAACAGATGTAATTCTGTGAGATCTAAAATTGTCCTGTAGACTTTCATATAGATAACTTCGAGGGATTTCAACGTGTCTTTCTTGTGGATAAACGCATGCATAAATTCACAGAAGATTGATGGGCAGTTTCGGAGATATGCGTTGATTGAACACACTGAAAGAATTTGGGTCGGGGAAGAAAAACTAGCCTCAGCAGATTATTCCCTAGGATAGAAATAACTTGCATGAATTTTTCAATGAAAAGGTCTTTTCATTTGGATATTAACTAACCTTTTTTCTCATTTCTTGTATAGGAAAGCAGTGAACCTGAAACCTTATGCTGAGGTAACTTGGGCCTCTTTTCAAACGCTTTCCTTCAGAGAAATAAATCTTAATTAAGTCCATTGATAAGTGTGGTTGTGGGATAATTCGAATGAAAGCTATAGAACAGTAATTTCATGTGGTACTGTTTATTACACTGAACAAGGTGGTTCTAACTTCAGGGCTCGAAATTAACTTTTTTGTTCGGGAGCCAGCTGGCGACTAAAGGAAAAATTTTGGTCGCCAGATCGTAAATTTTGGTCGCCAACTTATTTTATATATAACTTACACAAGAACACGATTTTATACGTCACTTTGCATGCAAGAAAAGTCACAATTGAAGAGCGAAAACAATTAAAAACAACATGAGTAACACTTAGTTATAAAGCTACAGTTGTTCTCAGGTGATATGTCTCTGGTTCGAAGGTGATGGTTGTCTCCAAAGTCATTTTAAAGGAAGCGAAGCGTAAAACGTTTTAAGTCCGTAGTTTTCATTGTGAGACAAACACGGGTCCGTGCTGAATCTTCATTCCCCGCACGTAAAAACTCACATAATTCCTTCAACTGATTGGTATCTGCCGCCATTTTCGCGGCAAATAAAAACGTGGAAAGCACATGGCGTTGAAGTGCCTGCGATCCCAGTTTCGGAAGAAGCCGCTGAAACGATGTGGCGTGCTGTGAACGCAGTATCGACGTGTCGAAATACATTCAATTTTTTCAATTATCTTGTAATATTCAGACAAAAGTTATTTTACTGGGGACGGAAAGGTGACTTGTATACTAGCTACCATATCCGATTGATTTCCTTATATAAAGATTTAAAAACAAAAGCTGTGTCGTGCTTTTCTTTAGTTATCGGACAAAGCGCGAGTCGCCAGCTGGCGACCAGTTCTGAAAATTTAGTGGCCAGTGCTCAATTTTTGGTCGCANTCAATTATCTTGTAATATTCAGACAAAAGTTATTTTGCTGGGGACGGAAAGGTGACTTGTATACTAGCTACCATATCCGATTGATTTCCTTGTATAAAGATTTAAAAACAAAAGCTGTGTCGTGCTTTTCTTTAGTTATCGGACAAAGCGCGAGTCGCCAGCTGGCGACCAGTTCTGAAAATTTAGTGGCCAGTGCTCAATTTTTGGTCGCATTGGCGACCAGTGAGTCGCAATTTCGAGCCCTGAACTTAAACGTCGGTGGATGAAACTCTAGTGTGTGACCATTCAAATGAAAGCTATTGAGCAGTACTTTCATGTAGTTCTGTTCATTATGCTGTAGCAGATAGATCTAACTTTTATTTCTGTGGATGACAACTTATTGTGTGACTATTCAAATGAAAGCTATTCTGCAGTATTTTCATGTGGTAATATTCTAAATTTGAAGCCCGCGGATGAAACTCTAGTGTGTTTCCATTAAAATGGAAGCTATTGATCAGCACTTCAGTTCCTGTGGTACTGCTTATTATGTTATACAAGGTGCTTTATCATTCATTTCTGCGGGTAAAACTAGTGCGCCGTTCTTCTCTATTGATGAACTACGAAAAATATTGTGAACTGGCCACACCTGTTGCCAAGCGCCATTCTAGATTATCTCTTCTGTTTCTCTGGCATCAGCATTTGTACCACGTGCTGCAGTCTCTGGCCTTCGTTATCATGGCGATCATTATCATGCGACTGAAGTTGTTTGGAACCCCCGCGCTGTGTGTTATGGCTTCACTCTTGGCTTCAAGACAGGTAAGTTAAACCAAATAAGCGACAAAGTGTCTGACCACATTTCTAAAAACCGAGAGGAGAGTTGAAAGACGTTTGATGATGTTTGGAAATGTGATAAAACACTATCTCAATAGTTGTTATTACAGTTATCAGCGGTTTGACATACAAACGACGCAAAAGGGTCAATTCTGCTTTGTATTGACCTGTTCACCTCGTTTGCATGCCTTTTTACACAAAATAATGTGTGACCGCAGACTCAACTGCACTAACAGCTATCATTTTCTCAATCGAAGCTGAGACTAAGGAGAAAAAGGCTAAGTAAAACCATAAAAATCTTTGTTAATTAAGAACGCATTTTCATGTGAAGCGTTACTCGCGAGTTATTACAAGTTTTGTGGTACGGTCCTCGAAATCTCGAAATCTAACGTAACAAAGGATGTGTCGCTCCTAGTAAGGAGAACATATCTTTTAAATGGAATTTTGTCGATATATTTGAATTTAGTATCACCAAACTAGTGGACTAATGCAAATCCTGCATTTTAATTGGCTACGCTACTAGAGGACTATTAGTAATACACCTTATTCCAAAATGGCCGCCATTTTAGTATTCTTTTGTTTACTTGAAAATGAGCCCTTGTTGCCTCGTTTACGGGAAAATATTCTTTTGAATTTCGAGTTTAAGAACGAGGTAAAAAGGGCTAATTTGCAAGTAAACAAAAGAATACTTAAATGGCGGCCATTTTGGAATAACGTGTATAGTCCTCGCGAAATTGACGCAACCGAGCATGACGTTTTCTTTCGTTTTATTCCCAAATAAATATTTCTTCAACTTGCATTTGCTAACTTTGTTATTGCCTTTTCCCTTCCCCCTCAAGGGCCACGGGTCAATAGCCCATTCGGTTTCGCCTCATGTACTCAATAGCCCTTGCGGGCTACGGGTCTAATTAAGTATTATTATGTTTTCTTTATTTCAGTTGTTTGGTTTTGTTTGTGACAAGCGGAAACACCAAGCCGCAGTGGTTGTGCTTATAGCTGTCATGTCAGTACAAGGGATAGGGAACCTACAAGTTCAGTTTGTAAGTGTTCTAGTCTTTCATTCTCTGTCCAGTATTAAGTTAACTACATATATCAAGGGTGCCCATTTACTAGGCATGCGTCAGTTTAAGACACTGGGGATGTTGAGAGAACACTCGAAAAGCTTGTAAATCACGAGTGGTTAGGCGAGTGATTTACAAGCTTTTCTCGTGTTCTCCAAACATCCCGCGTGGTTTTTGCGCCGGTAAACCCATTGAAAGAGTGGTTTATCGCTTAAGTAGATAGTGAGTAGCGTAGTAGTTTGCGTGTGTTAACAAAATGATGGCCACTTGTTTGCATTTAGGAGGTGTCTGTGAAGAGGATTTAGATAAAGTTTTGAACAACTAGTAGATTTATACTGAAACAATTAGATTATTCGCTCTCAATTTCTATGAGTGATAGAAATCTCGAACTCATATCTATCTAATTGTTTAGTTGAAACACTCCTGACAGTTTGGGAGAACTCGAAAAAATGTGCAAACATTCGCAAACATTTCTCGTTCTCCCAAACTGTTTCACCCGTGTTTCCATTAAACAGTTAGATTGTGAACGCGAGATTTCTATCGCGTATTAGTATGGATCTACTAGTGTTCTATCACGAATGCTGTTCTCTGATTGGCTAAGCTACTCACTATCTATTGTGTGATAGATAGTGAGTAGCGTAGCAGTGTGCCCTTGTTAACAAAATGACGGCCACTTCTTGGCGTTTTCGAGGTGTCTGTGAAGAGGATTTAGAAAAAATTTGAACGACTAATAGATTTATACTAAAACAATTAGATTATTCGCTCTCCATTTCTATGCGTGATAGGTGACTCGGGCTGCTTCCTCGTCAACTATCACGCGACAGATCTAGAAATCTCGAGATCATAATATAATTGTTTAATAGTAACACTCATAAAACTTTGGGAGAACGCGAAAAAGCTGTCAGCATTTCTCGTTCTCCCAAACTTTCTCTCGTGTTTTCATAACTGGATAGAAACCCGGAAATGTCCTCTATTTCTTAAATGTGACCACACGTTATGAGGTGTCAACAACTGAAATGGCTTTTCAGGTTTTTCCTTCGTACGGGCTAATTCTCAATCTTGGTTTTTACCCTTTTGACGTTAAGTGTTGAAGTGTGCAGGTAAATCACTGATAAGTTGATAATAATGGCGTTGTAATGGCCAGGAGTTCTCTGACAGATTTCGATGCGAAAAGACAGGCTACACTAACTCAACAATTTATTTTGGTAACTAACTGAATTGAAGGAAAAAACGTGAATTTAAACTTCAGTTTTCTGGGTTTTTTTGTTTTTTGTTTTTTTTTAACTTCAGGCGACACAAGGAGAGTATAATAACCCAGAACAAGAAGCGTTAGTAAGTTTATTCCCATGAACATCTGAGTTTTCATGATCAGAGTGATGTATTGTCACCAGGCAGCATCTTCTATAATCATCGTCTGCGGGGAAGGGGGGGAGGGGTCCTTGATGTTCGACGAAAGTCTAAGACTTAACATTGCAGTCAGTAATATACTTAGTTCAAGCATTGAACCGAACATTGTAAAACGTAACTCCACACCTCGTGGTAAACATAAATTACCCCAAATGAGTATAGATTCAACATTGTTAATGGAAGTTTTTTGGATAACTTTCTTGGGACTTAAATAAAAACGAGGGAATGCCGCATCCCGCAGGTCGGTAGATTTTGCTATTTGTTATTAAAACTAACGTCTTTTTTATCTTTACTCATTTGTTCTTGTTCGGCCTCAAGAGTCCTCATGGGCACGATGAGGATGAGTGTGAGTGTTATTTGTTCTTGTAAGTCTTTAATATCTCTTCTGTTGTTGCCCAGGTTGAGTGGATCAATACGGAAACACCCAAGAGTAAGGTTTTGAGTTGTGTTTTTATATTGTTTTTAGTTTGGTATTCAGTGGTACATTTTACAGTGTTTAGAACTAGTTGCTAGTTACGATTAATTTAACTGGGACATGGTTGCTAGCAATGAGGGGCCTTCTGTTCTGTTAAACGGATTTTACATTACCTTACCTTTTTCCCCAAATAGATTCTGTGTTCGCTGGTGCTATGCCAACCATGGCTACAGTTAAACTATGCACAGGTCGGGCTATCGTTAACCATCCTCATTATGAAGACGTTGGCATAAGGTAACGTAATCACTGCATTAGCATACATTACTGGCAAAATAAATTAACACAATTATTGGTAAATTAAATTAATAAGTTATTTAATAATAACTTCAATTTTGAAAACGTTGTAACCATATCAAAGTTTTAAAAACTAAAAAGTTTCAAGTAAAGATATTGTTTTCCGGCTCTGTAGAAGACATAATGAGAAACACCGAAGCAGGGTCAATGTTTCCGCGATCACCAGCCTTCGACGCCATCACAGAGTCTGTCTCAAGTGAATGTGGCGGGAATCTTTTGTCACGTGAGCTTGGGTGCCCTAAGCCACGTGTCAAAACATTCCCGTATAGTGCCGGAAGTTCAAATCCACGGTCTCGATTGAGCGTCGGGGACTGGCACAGGATTTCTAAGGCCTCACGAATTCTCCTCCTGAAGTTGTCTTCTTCTCTAACTATGACAGCCGCCTTATTCTCCTCCAAGTTTGTTTTTAACTTGCAGTTGTTTTGCTTGTATTATCAAGCGAAATTACGAAACCATTGTAATAAACTCAACTTTATAATTTACGGACAGTTCTTGTGATAGAAAACATCACTCTGGTCATTTTGTTGCAGAGAAAGGACTCACAAAGTGTACCAAATCTTCAGTAGGAAGCCGCCTGCTGTTGTCTGGGAAACGCTGAATTCCATGAAAGTCACACACGTGATTGTTGACACGCAGTGGTGCAGAGGACGACCAAAGTAAGTATATAGCCTTGTTGTCATGGAAACAATTTTTTAAAAATTTATAGTGGGGCTCAGAATGGCTGGAATGTTATCTTTTTGTAAGCAGTTTTCGTCAGAGAGGTAACTTAAGCATATAACGCGTAACCGAAACATTCTACGACTCTTAAAAAATAAGAAAGCTACGGTGACAGCGGCAACAAGAACGTCGTGAAACAAGGTGCAAAATAACCAGACCACAGCTTGTTTCGTGTTTCTATATGAGGCTGAATGTTGTCTTCCAGCGGGGCCTGGGGCCCGTTTCTCGAAGGTCCCGAAAAGTTTTCGCACCCGGAAAGCCATAGCAAAATCTCGAACCTTGAGATTAAAGAACTGTTTTATTCACGTATTCTTAATATGAACAGAGGTTCCTTTCATACAAGAAGTTTCGGGCGTATACAATTCTCCGTTTTAGATACAGATTAACTAAAAATGGCTTTACGGTCACACAAAGTTTCCGGGGCCTTCGAGAAACGGGCCCCAGGTTCTCAAACCAATAAATACTCAAAATACGTTTTGCGAGACTCCGGAAGCCACATGCAATTATCTAGAGCTGTTCAGTACGCCGAGCGGTCTAAAACCCTACTCAAACTCAAGATGAAACGCCGGCGATCAATTCAAGAAGTAAAATAGGAAAATTATCCATCGTGGCTCACGTTCTTCAAAACCCACAAAACACGACGGCAACGGCAACGAGAACGTCACCAAGCAAAAGGTTTAATGATCAGAACAATGGCTGTGCATGTGCGTTGTAATTCTTGGTACATTTCGTTGCCGTCCTCTGCAAAACAGCAACGTGAAATGACCAAATTCTGAGTTGTCTGGTGAACGTGAACCACTACGGCTAATTTTTCGTATTTCTATTTGGAATTGAACGCATTCGTAGCATATTCAGCAGGGGCAAGTTTTAATACCGTCAGACACACTGCATAGTTCCAAATAAATGCGTTGAAATTCCAAAGTTAAACAGAAATACATTTTCTACTAGGCGTCGTCCTCGCCGTCGCCGTCGTATATGCGTACGGTCCCTGTTGTTGTGCAGAGAACGGCTTCTAATTATTCAAAGATTTGTAACGCACGTGCACAGCTATTGCTCTATTCATTAAACCTTTTGTTTGGTGACGTTCTCGTTGTCGCCGTCGTGGTTTCCTTAAGCTCCTATATTTTATTTACCCAAGATAGCGACCAGCCTGTCCCTTGATTGACGACTTGTTGTGCTTAGTAA